AAAGCATGAAAATTACTTTCACTGCATTTCCAAGCAGAGGGAGTTCTTTTCGCTGTTTTCACAAGCAGAGGCATGGCCGTGTGGTAGAACATTCGCTTGCCACGCAAGCGACCTGGGTTCGATTCCCACTTGGACCCAAACAACCCTGGTTTGGTCCCCACTCTGCTTCAGGATTTATCATTTATTTATTTTATTTGCATCGTTCTCTATTTTTTGGACACGCATAAGATGATGATTTTTCGCTCACAACTAACGATGTCGAAGCCACAATTTCTGCCAAAGGAGCTGTTTAACGCTATTGTGTTAATGTTACCAGTAAACTGCAGTCAACGCATTTCATTCGCCGACAATCTGCCTAAACCAAAAGCAGCGAAGCGCCGCTGCGTGGGTTTGTATATGCCCCGACAACTGCCTATCCACACTTCGGTGGGGAGGGTGCTGCCACCTATGGCCCGATTTCTTCGCAAATAGCATGCATCAGCCGCGAAATGACCAGTTCCTTCAAAAGAGGCTTGTGTGTGTGTGTGTGTGTGTGTGCAATGTGTGTGTAATGTATATATGTATATGTATGTAATGCTTTGTTTCAAAACAGCATTAACTAAAGTTGCCACTTTCGCTGCATAGGTTTCAACCAGTGCTTTCACGAGTCGATCGATTTGTGGCCTAGCGGAGCCTGAAAGGCAGCTTTGCCACAATGCTGGAATGTGATGGCTGCAAAAACAAAGGGGCCACTGTAACCGCGTAGCTGTAGTGTGATGTCTTTACGAATAGACACCCGAAATGCACACAGTACGGGATAAATGTAAGTAATAAACGTGGCAGTACGGCTCAATCGCAGATAACCCTTCTGATAGGCGTCTTCAGCTAGCTGCTCAATAGTGCATAAACCGTAGCGTTGCAAGTGACATGCATGTGACGCTATGATGAAAGGTAGACATGGCCCGACTCATAAGCCATGTTTATTCCATTTTTACTTCCTCTTCATTTGTATTTACCATCAGTCACTGCTTTCCTACGTCTCAGGATTCCCCCTCGCTCTGGAAGAATTCGCGTCAGAAAAACAACAAAACAACAAGAACACAGAGTGTTAAAGCCAAGAATGCCAAAATACGTCCTAGTTCTATTTCAGAAGGAAGTTCCTTAACTGGCACAAAAAATCCACAGCAGGGGGAAGCAGTCCGGCCATATCTAAGGGAACTCTGGTGGTTGCGGCTGGCTGTTGCGTTCTGGATGGCACAGCTACACCCTAGAGATGTGCACTGGTGATGACATGGGTTGAGTTCCTGTGAGGAACGCACAAGGTTGGGAGTCCCTGTAGCATTTGAAGTTCAGATGTCGAAGGCGTCGAATTGTGTTATGGCGGGAACAGACATGTGCTTTCAGTTTGCGTGTGCGATGGTCACGGGTGATGGAATGGTGTCTTGGTCTCTGCGTTGTACAGATGGTGCCTTCTCATCTCTTTCGTCATTTTCTGTGGTTTCAGAGCTGTAATCGAAGGCACAGTCTTGATCTCTTGTGCCAAATTGGTTTGTGGCGCCGATACCTTATGCGTGTATGCCTCATGCAATGTGTTTGCTTTAAGAGGCTCACTTTGCGTCGTCTTCCTTGTTGGTGTATCCGTTAGAGTGTCAGAAATCCTTGTACTCGTTTTTGCTGGCGTTGCTGCTGTTGCATCTGAACGTGCTGAGGTGGGAGCACTTCTTCAAGTTGTCAAGAGAACCTTGAACATCATGCCGGTTTTCTTGACAACTTGATGTGGTGTTCAGTCGGTAGCTGGTAGTCTGTGGGCTATTTTCATTTTGTTCGGGCAGTGAAGATAATGCTTCAGAGTTAATAGAAAGCTCTTCAGAGGCTTCTTCTGCACTATTCACTACGAAGGGCTCTTATTCACGACAAAGGTCAACATGGGATGTTCAATGCATCTGAGCCTTCTGCTTTGCTTCGACTGTCTAGTGGGTGTGCACCAAACGGTGATGCATGAACCCCTCCGAAAGCAGCATAGCTTAACAGGGTATTTTCATGAAAAGTCCGGTCATCTAACATGATCATGGCGTCCATATGAGGCAAATGATGAACGTTAGGAGCGCTTGAAGTGCCGCGTAATGGAAAACCGCGTGGTGTACCATGTACGCGAGACGAAGAATGAAGGGCATCAGGTGGATGAGTAATGTCTTTCATGTAATATGCTGGAGCGAGGACTTTGGAAATGCCGACTTTCGTGCAGAAGGGAGGCACGCTTGATTGTTGGGTTTTTCTCAAAATACGCATAGCCTTCTGTAAGTAAACTCATGTGCCAGTTCGTCTTGTGATAGTTCTCGATTCGCGCTGGGCTTCCGAATGCTTGAAGATTGCTTCAGGAATTGACGGTACAGTGCGGTTTTCTCCAGATGGTTGGCAATAAGTATGTCTTGGTCATAGTCGTTAAAATTAGTTATTATCTCTTCTTTTATATTTTGCCATGACTTTCCTTTTCAAAGATGTGGGTGAGGTAAAACTTAAATGCCTCACCGGAGATGTAGTCAGTCAATTTTTTTTTCCAAACTGCTAAGAAAGCCCACGAAATTTAAAAAAAAAATACACAACTAGTGTGTTTACTTGCTGCGATTGTTCTGCTCTCAACTGGGCTTTGAGCGATTGAAATCCTTGTGGTAGGCCAACTCTTGGTTTGTATCAGCAAATGGGCACGCGTGACTGTTCAAGGTGTAGCAAGCGCTATTATCAGCTTCTCAGCCTACCACTCCAATGGACTTAGTGAGTTGCAGCCACCGCTGATTTTGTTTGCTCTAACCACAGCCCAAAGCAGCATGATCGCGGCACGCGAATGCGGTTTTTTGTATTTTGCGAACTTTATTTGCAGCTTGAAAAAATTTTGTACGTACTTGTATTACAAGTGTAGGTTTTTGATGACTCTTGAACTTTGTAAATCCAATTTCTTGCCTAACGTCCATATTTAGCAATGTAGTTGAATAATTCTAAATGACAACTTAGTTGGAAAAAAATTCTCTGCAACACGCTAGATGGTTGTCATCAATTTTCTTTGTCTGCCTTTAATATGGCATTTTTGACATCTTGGCGCCAGTTAGCTGGGACAACAGGTATATTATACCAGGACTGACGGCTCATCTAGTTTTCTCCAGCGGTTATGTGTACACCAATCTCAACAAAAACTGGCGCTGTTCTTCTGAAACCCAGCACCTGCTATGCAGTGGCTTACATTTGTCCCAAGCGTGTCACCTGCAACAAGTAGTCCACCCTTTTTCTGTGCTGCGAGGAGTCTTGTACATATGCATTTACTTTACTTGTGCAGGGACGTATATTTGGGTGCAAGTCGCTCGGATCTGTGCACCACATTTGGCCAACATAGTGACAGCTATGCTCTCTTGGGCAGTTTAGTTGCCTTAGCTATTTCTCAACTGCATGGCACATTTGTGCTGTCACCTATTGTGAGTGTGCAGTAGATTGAAGTCATGGCATTGAATGTTAAAGGGACACTAAAGGCAACTATTAAGTTGACGTTGATTGTTGAAATAGCGGTCCAGAAACCTCATAGTGTTACTTTTGTGCCAAGGAAGGGCCTATTTTGAAATAAAATCACGTTTTAGTAGTCCGCATTGGGTTAGCGCACTTCAAATTACCTGCCTCAAGAAGCGGACCGACCGTACCGACTCACGTCACTTTTGCCGTGCACAATGTTGCTCGGCTATAGTAGCAGCATGCTCGGCTATAGTGGCAGCAGCGGGAGCCACAGCAGCAACAACAGCCACTGATCAATTTCCAGCCATTGGCTTCGAGATTGCAGACATCGTTTGTTTGAACTGCGTCCCGCTAGATGACACCACCTGTCTCGTGCAATCACGCGAAAATTAAATTTTTGAACCACTCATGCCATACCCCATAGTAACACCCGACGGTTTTTTTTTCTATGAATCAAACAGAAACGGGCAACAGCATTTTATTGTATCTCTTGGTGTACGAAAGGTTCTTTATTTAGTGCAGCTAGATCGATTACTAGTGATTAATTGTAGGCGGTCCATCTGATGTCATTGAGATCATTTTGAAAATGTCCTACTGCTGGCGCTTGTGTTCTTGTGCATTTACTTTAATTTCTCGGTAAGTAGGGCACTGTTGTTGATAATATTGTCGTTCTAGATGTTTTCATGCATTGAGTTTTTCACTCTAACGTAAATTGTTATTTTACTTTAGTTTCCCTTTAATATGATCTCAAAAACAGCACAAATACCCATTTTTTCATGAGCGCGGACAAACTTGTTTTGACTTCTTTAACATATACTTGACTTTAACAATGCTGCTATGCCACACGTGCAGCCACACAAATACTAGTTGAAAATGCTTAGTGCAACAGTGTTGTCTGTGATCAGTCCACTTTCTTGTTATTTGGTGGCTGCCATCACATTTCTCGTCACCACGTGTGTTGAATCAATGGGTGGCAGGCATCTCCGAATGAAAAAGCAAAACAGCACCACAGCTTAAATGCTGGGGTGCACTTCAGGCAGGCAATCATATAACAGGAAGGCATTTTACTGTTCATTGGTTTTAATTTGCTAAGTCAATGTGAGGTCTGTGCTCTTCTCTGATGGGCTTCTTTATTAATGTTAATGAAAAGCCCAGACGCTGTAGGGCTGTCAGCATGTTGAGTGTAACAGCACTTGATAATAGTTTAAGTGCTCCCAGGCTTACGTCTTGATTACTTAGCACTTTATATCTTTGACGGAAATGAACTATCACGGGTGCTTCAACTATCAAAAATGCATTAAGGTGACTTATAGCACCAATTGTAGCTGACCTCACCGTCTAATTTTTTTGTCCGTACTTTCCTATTGGTTAATCTTTCCTCTACGCAAAGGTAGATTTATCTATTTCATTTTATAATTGCAGTGTACTCTGTAAATATTTCTGCCTCGCGTCCCTTTACTTTAGGTGGCGCTGTGCATTTTAATTTGAATCGAGTACAACTGAGCTATCTTTTCGTTTGTTTGCAGGAGTGTGTATGATGACTTGGTGGGAGCTGGTGTGATTGTGCCCTTGCCCGAGGTTCCACCCCCGACAGTGCCCATGGACTACAACTGGGCCAGGGTCAGTACCTCGGGAGTGATGACCTCTGCCAAACCATCTGAACTCTTGTGTTGCAGTGATCCCGCTCCTGCGCCAAAGTGCGCCAAATCAGATTTACTGCACCATCCTGATAATATCAAGAAACATTGCACCAAACTGCGCCAAAGTCGAATTTGGGAGCATCTATCACCGGCAATAGCCACGCCGGCAGCGTCAATACATGTGCATCTTGTTCTCGGGGCCACCAAATTCACAATCACCTACCTGTTTAATTTCGCTGAAAAACTGTGGTGGCGCGTGCGTCCTAAAATCCTTGATGCTATGTTTGGTGCCGACGCAACTTGGTTGTGCAAGTCTGCCTAACGGCAAAACGCGCTCTCTTCATGGGCTCGTGGCGTCTAGTTTAATCAGTAGTGTGAAACTGTGGCGGCGATTCATCGGCGGATGTCATCCATTTTAGGAATGCTGCTGAGAGTTCACATGAAGAGTTGCGCGGCACATAATAAAGCAATTATCACTAATAACTGCATGCGTGCCGCCAAAATGTCAGTCACGTCTATGTCTGGACATCACGATCTAATTTTCCGTGCTTCGCATCCGCAGAGAAACAGGTAAATGGTGCGAATGGGTTGACACCTTTTCTCTAATATACTTTATGCATGGATCATCAGACAGAAGAGCTTTTTCGTAATTCCTTCCACAAGCAGATCCGCATTTATAATTGCTGTGGCGGTAAAAGCCCCTAAATAACTCTGCCCTCTTGAACTCGAGGTTGCTAGGGTCCAAATTGAAAATTCTCGCGTGCTTTTTTTTAAATGTAATCTCATTAATAAAATCATGCCTCCTGGTCGGCGCAGCTGCAAATCGGTTTTAATGCGCGCAGCTGTAGTGAGGCCATCGCTGGTGGCTCTGGTGTCGGAAGGCCTGTGAAGCGGCTACGCCTTGTTACATGTCTGCCTCTCGTTTTCTAGGGTCAATAGTTGGCGGTTAAAAAAAAAATGAACATCACGGCATCGCATTTATTGCTTCGTTTTGAAGGGAAAGGTGGAGGGGAGACTGCTGCATCGCTTAAAGTGCCTAGCTAGAGGGCGCTATCTCGAGGCATAATGAGACTGCTCGTTGACTTTCTGGGCTACTAGCATCTGCTTCGTGTTTAGATAGCTGACAGCACGAAAGCCTAAGCAACTATAGAGTTTCGTGATATCCGATCTAAAAGAATATACAATTTGTCAGTTTCACTTATGCTCTTAGGAGGTAATGTGAAACCGACAAACGGTATTGTTATACTAACTAATAAGGCTTGACGTCATCCGTGGGTAGTGCTAGTGGCGAGTTTGCCATTTCCAAGGTCCGCGCACTCACAAAAACTTGCTGCATGCGCTGTGTTCGATATCCGCGACTTGGGTGACTAGAGACTCCCGAAACATCTCCTGCACACCGATGCATGTATAGATGGAATCAGACTTTTCTGGAGTGCCCAGCCAGCCGCTCCAGCTGGTGTTTTCTTCAGAAATATGTTAAGAGAGACGCCGTAATGCTATCAGACATGGTCGTACCGCGTGTTGGGCCCTTGTGGTGTAATGTAAGCATCAACCGAAGCTTGTAGCTAACGTGAGATAGAAGCCCCGGCTGACAACAGTGTCAGCAGGAATGCACTCCGCTGCTCTAGACCAGTGTGATTCTATCTGTACAGCACGAACGGCACGTACGAATGGACCTCTGAAATGACAGGACGATGGTGTGGCCACCTTGCGATTTAGGCTCAGTGCATACCCTTATATGGCCGCTCTAGAAAGCGAAGCACTTTTTCCACAGTCAGTTCGCGTTGAGAGTACAAGGTAGAAGGGTATACCAGTCGTAAATAGCACGTGCACCAGCTATCAGACCCTTAAAGTCAAAAGCTCATAAGAACGCCCCCCCCCCCCCCTCCCCGGCTCGATCCTTCCTGTGCCTTGGACACTGGCGGCGCATTCCTTTCTGCTTGAATAACAATCGATGGGAGGCCTGGCATTCGGGGCGATGTTGTTACATCCGCCCTTTGTACAAAGAAGATGGGTCAGCTCTTCTTATCTCCGCAGGTCGTGGGTTCAAATCCCGGCTGCGGCGGCTGCATTTCCGATGGAGGCAGAAATGTTGTAGGCCCGTGTGCTCAGATTTGGGTGCACGTTAAAGAACCCCAGGTGGTCGAAATTTCCGGAGCCCTCCACTACGGCGTCTCTCATAATCATATGGTGGTTTTGAGACGTTGAACCCCAGAATAATTTTTGTCTTTGAATGTAAATAAACTTGCTTACCCTCTAGAATTTGAAGTTAGCTGCTCCGGATTGCTCCAAAATGGAAAGTTTTGCTGCTCCAATGGGCTCCAAATAAAATACTTTGCTGCTCTAAAGTGCTCCAAAATGAAAAATTTTACTGCTGCGCTGCCGCGGTGGTCTAATGGCTAAGGTACTCGGCTGCTGGCCCGCAGGTCGCGAGTTCGACTCCCGGCTGCGGCGGCTGCATTTTCGATGGAGGCGGAAATGTAGGCGCAAGTACTCAGATTTGGATGCACGTTAAAGAACCCCAGGTGGTCGAAATTTCCGGAGCCCTCCACTATGGCGTCTCTCATAATCATATGGTGGTTTCGGGACATTAAACCCCACATATCAATCAATCAATCAATGAATCCTTCTGCCCTGAGCAATATGACCGCCGCGGCTTCACTTTGATATATGGGCGCGTATGCGGGACCCCCACTCCAGAAGTTTCAGTATAGCCTCCTTGGCAGCATCAAAAAGAAATCGCGCTTTTACGCAGCCAATGTTATTCACACGCTTTATAGACGTTGCAGTTCTGCAAAAAATTGCTAACTAGATTTCCAATTGATAATGCTATTTGGGGGTTCAGAACATCTGATAAACCCTACACAAAAGCTTATAAACTCAACACAATGTTGTAGGCCCATGTGCTCAGATTTGGGTGCACGTTAAAGAACCCCAGGTGGTCGAAATTTCTAGAGCCCTCCACTACGGCGTCTCTCATAATCATATGGTGGTTTTGGGTTGTTAAACCCCACATATCAATCGAAAATTTTACTGCTCCAAAAATTGCTCCAAATCGGAAGACCTGGGTGGCATCACTGGTGTTGTTGTCCAGACTTGCACGTGGGAGCCTTGCAGTGAAGTATGCGCCGTGTGCTGGTTATGTCTTCTTCTGTGGCAAAGGGGGGGGTATGGCATTTCACTTGGAATGAATCATTGCAAAAAAAAAAAACTGTTTAATATTCCTGAGATATTCAGCCCAAAATTTGATATTTTTCGTGTGTACTCATGCCAATAATGTGGCCTTGTCAGAAAACAATGGCTGAGTGGGGGCCCACATCTTTTCAGTGGACGTAGTGCAATGTGTCTTTTATAAACTCGGCCTTCTTTTCTTGTCTCTGCAAGTTATTTTCCTTGCACATCGCAAATTACCACTAGGCACTTTCTCCTTTGTTGCGCCCGTCATTGAAATAGGCACATGGATAGAGCTACCTTACAGAGGACAGTGTGACCTGCACAAAAATACCTTCATTGTAGCTGATCATGAATATTATGTTGGTTGGTTCCCTGCCCTGAACCATCACTGCAGGAGTTGGGCCTGATACGCAAGCCGGCTTCATTCATGACGAGCATTTGCGACGAGAGGGGCCAGGAGCTGCTCTACGCTGGCATCCCCATCACGACAGTCATCGAGAAGGAGTTGGGCATCGGGGGTGTGCTGAGCCTGCTGTGGTTCCAGCGCCGCCTGCCCCAGTACGCCTGCAAGTTTCTCGAGATGGTTCTCATGGTGACAGCCGACCACGGACCGGCTGTCTCGGGGGCCCACAACACTATAGTGTGTGCCCGTGCGGGCAAGGATCTCATCTCGTCCCTCGTCTCTGGTCTTCTCACGATCGTGAGTTTTCTCTTCATACATTCCCTGCTATGTCACTCTCTTGCGGCCTCTTTGCGTCTTGTTTTGCGCTAAAAAAAAATGATGCCCAGTCCTACAGTGATCTATATGACCTTTGTCTAATGCCTTTATTTCTTAATCTTACACCGTACACTCTACTTTGTCAGCAAAGAAGTCTGATCTTTGTGATGCAACCTGTTTCGTATGAAGTAAGGTTTCACCTGCTGGCAATAGACATCTTCATAAATGTCTGAAACCAGGAGAATGTCGCCAGACATATCGTATATATTCGCATTGTGAAAGCACTTTTCCTCCCGAAAAATCGCTCGTCCTGAACTTCTTGAGGACGAGAGAAAAGTGCGGTAGCATTAGAAAAAAGTTAAGTAGCTTAATTTTTCGCAATTCACATACACCTACACTGTTTGGAAGCAGCTTCTTTGTTGCACTTCAAGCGTCTTTGGTGGTTGATGCAATACGTTTTTCAAGCTGTCCTTGCACACTCTGCAAAAGCGTTTCGCGGCTTTCTTTTTTCGCAGTGTTTTGTTTAACCGCGACAGTGGTATCAGCTGTGATCTCACCGAGAAGTGTGCGCCAGTACGCCAAGTGTGTCGTAATATTGACGCTACGACACACCACGCACTTTCCAAACTTTGTGGCAAACTTGCATGATCACGCTGACATTGAAGCTTTTTTTTTTTGTTGCTGAAATAAATTCTTCAGACCATTCTATTTTGGAAAAAAATTGTCCAAGTTTTTTAGTGTGACAAAAATTATTTTAGTATGTTGTTACATACACATAATCTATTGATAGTAACAACAAACAAAATGCTAAACAAAAAAATTCCCCTATCTCCCCGAAGGAAATTATTGCATAACGGCGTTTCGCACGTGAGAACCCAGCATTAGAATTTTTTTTTTTTTTTACACCGTGCAGCCAATAGCGCCGTTCGCCGCATGGGGTGTTTTTCTGTTGCGATAAATGCATACCGTAACCAGCTCCAGTAACTAGCGTGCACGATTAAAAAGATACTCTCAAGTGAACAAAACAAACAGCGTTCTCAGCTCGGCGTTGGCGTTTTACAGCGGCGCCTCAAGCATACAATTCCGGATGTTCTTGAGAGGCGCCCAGCCAGTGAATGGCCAAGAGTGAGGAGTGAGCAGACGAAAAAGTTGGAGCAGGGAGGAGAGAGAGCGAACGGCGAGAGGAGGGGCGAAGCACTACACTTGTCATCATACAAGACGGCCATAATGTCAGCGTCTTATCAACACAAACGCTACACGAACGCTGGCAGCTCAAACCCTACAAATGCATTTTGAACACACACACGCTAGGGACACGCCAACCCACAATTGTTGCTAAGGGAGCGGGCGGTGGACGGATCCTGATGGACGCCTGACATAGCCCGACTAGGAAATACATTCGCATTTCAAACTCAAGAGACATCAATGCATGAAAACAATTTTGAAGTTTCCCGAAGCACAGCAACGCATGCTAAGAAAGGAAGAGATTGGAAAAAGCGTGCATTTTAAACCAGCCGAACCACGAATGCATTTGGGTGCACAAGTGGTTACCGGATCAATGTTTACCAAGTAAAAAAAAAGAACAGAAGAAATATTGATGCATGAAAAAAAAATCCTCATGTACCGGAAGTATGTGCTGTCATAGTTCGGGTACAGGTGCCATAGTTCGAGTACACGTGTTTTTTTTTCGTTTTTTTTTCCATGCGTGGAAAAGGCGCGCATGTTAAACAGAGGCATGGCCAAAACTCGTAAGGGGTTAACAGATCACGCTCAGTCGTGTCTTGGAAGTAGGAAATCTCTCTGTACAAGTGAGCGTACTGTGCCGGCCACGTCGTCAACAGAGGCACTGGGGTGCTTGCCTTTGCTGTGTGTGGTGTGTGTACTATGCAGTATAACCTCGTTACAACGGATCTGCTTACAACAGACATTCAGATACCGTATATCAATTGGCATCATTATGCCGACCTCCCTTTTTGCTCCACTGATTGAACTTCGTTTATTATAGCTTATGGTACAACAGACATTTGGATATACATTCGAACCCCTTTATGAGAGACACTGATTTAAGAGACGAATGGGTATAAGGGACACAAGTCTGCCTACAGTAATACAGTCAAACCTCAATATATCGAACATGGATATATCTAATTATTGCCTATATCGAACGGTTCCTATATCACGCGGGAAATCGCATGCATTATTTATTTTTTCTTTTGAACAGTTTGACATATAATGGTTATACAGTAAAAGCGCGTTAATTCGACACCCGTTAATTCAGAAATTCGGATAATTCGGACGGCTCTATTGGTCCCGGTCAAAGTGCATGTTAATCTATGGGACCAAACCTTCGTTATTTCAGTCGGAATTAGGCTCCGCACCCTTAATTCGGACAAATGCTGACGGCTGCTGCTACACAAAGGTGTGTTAAAGCAGCGCTGGCACCACTGGAGGGAAACCGAAGCCTGAGTGGCATCGCCATCATCATCAACTAGTGGGGGCGATCGCAGCGTCACCGAACGTCGGCATCTTCTTTCTTCTCCACTCAGCGCCTCCGACGCCATTTTCCCTTGTGTTGTCGTGTCGGAACCATCTCTTCTTGCGGAGTTCTCTTTTTCTTCCATTGTGACCGTATTTGCATGCCACCACCATCGTGCGCTACAGTGATGGCAACGCTGAAAAAGCGGCAGAACTAAGACGCGAAGAACTTGGCGACTAAAGTGGAAATTTCGGAAGCACTGAAGAACGGCGAATCGCAACAGCAGGTTATGACCAAGTACAACGTGAAGCGGAGCACGTTGGGAACGTACGTGAAAAATGAACAACAGATTCGACAAGCCTTCGAAAGCGAGAAGTTTCATGCCTCTAGAAAGCGGTTGCGAACCACAGCTCATCCCCAGCTCAAAGAAGCTTTGCTACTGATGGATTACTGACTGTCGCAACGCGCATCTGCCTTTGAGCGGACCTCTCATCATGGCGCAAGGTGAGAAGTACGCTGCAATGATGAACATTGAATCGTTCAAAGCGTCAGAAGGGTGGTTTGCGAGGTTTCGAGAGAGACACGAACTTGTCTTCAGGAGTGTGTGCGGCGAAAAGGCCAGAGTTGACGAAAGCGTGACCACCGAGTGGAGAAATGTGAAGCTGCTGGAGCACATTGCCGCATATGAACCACGTGACGTGTTCAATGCAGATGAAACTGCTCTATTTTTCAGAGCTCTGCACGACAAGACAGTGACTTTCAAAGGGGACGCGTGCATTTGTGGCAAGAAGTGCAAGCAAAGGATAACTGTGCTTCTTGCCGCCAATATGACTGGCACGGAGCGCTTGCCACTACTTGTCGTCGGGAAGGCGCTTAAGCCACGTTGTTTTAAGAACGTCAAAAGCCTTCCTGTCGAGTACACAGCGAACAGGAAGGCATGGATGACATCGGACATTTTTCGCGGCTGGCTGCAGCAGTTGGACCGGCACTTCACGTCGAAGGAGCACAAAATAATTATGGTTGTTGACAACTGCAGTGCCTATAACTGTACAGTCGAACTGAAGAGCATAAAAGTAATTTTTTGCCGCCCAACACTACGTCTGCTCTTCAGCCGATAGACCAGGGTATCATTCACTACGTGAAGTCGAAGTACCGCAAGCACCTGCTAGAGCAAATGATCCTATGATCAGAAGCTGGAAAGTTGTACCAAGTGACTTACTCGGCGCAGTGCACATCATCGCCAACTGTTTTCGGCACAGCGCTTTTGTGAGGCCCGAGCATGCAGCAGTAGCTGACGATGGCATCGAGGAGGTGTCAGCCGAGTCCACTGACAATGACTGCCCGACTTTCGATGCTGTCCTTCCCACAGACGTGACCTTTCAGGACTACATTGCGATTGATCATGGTGTCGCCACAAGTGGTCTCCTGACCGATCAAGAGATTATTAATGATGTCACGGGCGCCCATGAAGACCACTATTCCTGACGAAGAATCATGCGAGAAGATACAGCCGCGACCTCATCGCACCTCACCGGAAGTCTCAGAGGCGCTGTTAATATTAGAGGACGCTTGCCTGAACACTCCCGACAGCTTGCGTGCTGTTGGCCATTTGGAACAGTTAAGAAAAATTGTGATGTCAACCGGAATCTGCTCGAAAACGCAGACGACAATTACAAAATACTTCAACAAATAAAGGTATGCTTCTGCAGCTTTATTTTAAATGTTGTTTTCCCTGTTCATTCGTTAGTTCGGCATTCGGTTAATTCGGACAGTTTTTCCGGTCCCGTGAAATCCGAATTAACGAGCTTTTACTGTATCGAACTCAGCCACCCCAAACCGCCCGCGCTTCATTGACAGGCGGCGAGCTTTCCTGCAACTCTCGAAAGTAGCTGTAGAGCGGTGGGCGTTTACGAATGCCGCACACATCGGTGGCGCCGAAAGCGCCACTTTAACGTAGCGGCATACGCGCGCCGCAGCCTTGCGGTAGAGGTTCTTGAATGAGCAAAGTGAAGAGAAAAGCGCGGAGCTGTTATTGTCTTTCAATACGAAGGCACCGACACGGCTTCGCGCGGGGGAAGGGGGAGTGGGAGGTAAAGATTGAGGAGGAAAGTATAGGGACGCAGACGACTGTCTGGGACGCGGCCCGTGCTGCCGCCAGGAAAGAGAAAGCAGTCAGGCGAGCCAGCATGGGTGCGCCATGTGCGCGCTTTACACCCGGACTCACACCGCAGCCTTGCAGCTTGCAGTCGTTGCAGTCTCTATGGTGTCAACGGCACACTGCGCACTTGTTGCAAGCTCCTCCCCCGTGGCATCGGCAGGCAACGGTCGTTGGGCTCGCAGTGTTCATGCGTTCGGAGTTAGGCCTGTCGCGCGCTGTGGTGCGCGACTGGCCTAACTCCGAACGGCGGAGCTCACGGAATGTGGAGATTGTCGCCGAAGCTACTGCTGGGCAGCCAAATGAAGACTCTGCCGAGGTGGATCCCGCAAGCGCTGATGGTGCCCCGCT